GGGGGAGTGAAGGATGACGTCAGCGTCCCTCCAGCTCCTCGGCATCCTTAAAGAGCGCCGCTGCTTCCTGCCGATGACAGGAAGTGAGCGCGGCGAGGAGCAGAGAGGTTAAAGAAGAGGGAGAGCGGATTATTTTGAATCGTCTAAGACGGGGGTCTGCAGCGGCTCCGGGGCCACACGGGGCTCTTTAGTCCCTCATAGGCGGCTCTTTGAAGCTTTCACCAAAACTTATTGAAATTTAATTGTTTTGTTTTTATTCTCACAACAGAAAAATCCTGTTTTGGAAGTTTGTCAAATTAATGTGAATTTATTGTCAGATAGTTAGAAAAGAACGACAGGAAATTATTGAAGTCGTGTTTCCCCCCCAATCATTATACAAGCGGGGTGCCCCGCTCCGTCAACAGAACCGAGCGCCGTGCCTAGTGACACCCCCGCCCCCTGTCAACAACGTTGGTATTAATGTAGCGCTAAGCAAGCAGGCGGGCAACGCAGACGTGAACCCCCCCACGGTAGATGGAAAAACAGCAGCAACGTAGAGCTAACTAGCAGGAGGGCAACAAACATGTGACTCTGCCCCCACCCCCCACAGTTGATAAAAAACAGTAGCAATTTAGTGCCAACTAAAGGACGGGCAACACAGACATGACTCCGCCCCCCCACACTCAATAAAAAACGGCAGGAATATAGCGCTAAGCTAGAGGGCGGGCAACAAAGACATGACTCCGCCCCTCCACGCTCGATAAACAACGGCAGGAATGTAGCACTAAGCTAGCAGGCGGGCAACAAAGACGTGAATCTGCCCCCCCCCCCACACACACACACACACACACACACAGTCGATGAAAAACTGTAGCAATTTAGTGCTAACTAAAGGGCGGGCAACACAGACATGACTCCGCCCCCCCACACTCAATAAAAAAACGGCAGGAACGTAGCGCTAATCAAAAGGGCGAGCAAACCAGACGTGACTCCGCCCCCTCGTCGATAAAAACGGCAGCAATTAGCTGTTAGCAGGTGGGCAAGACATATGTGACTCCATTCCTCCCCCCTCGTCGTCAGTAAAAACCGACAGCAACATAGCATTAAGCTAGCAGGGGAGCAACAGACATGACACCCCCCTAAACCGTTGACAAAAATGGCAGCAATGTAGCGCTAAGCTAGTGGGCGGGTAACAAAGACACAGACTCCATCCCCCCGTCTGCAAAAAATAAAATACAACGAGCACCCCGCCAAGGGAACTGATCGGGGAAACACTGGAAGTAAGTTTCTTCTTCGGGGGGGTCACCACTCACATGAAAGAGTTGGTCATTTGTTTTAGCCGGGCGCCCTTCCTGACGCAACCTGGGCTCGAACCCACAGCCTCAGGATTACAAGACCGCGGCACCGGCCAGAGTTACCGCAGCCCCGCCCGATATTTGCTATTCCTCACATGGGCCTGCAGAGTTCAGTGTTTTAATCTTTATCAGAATAAACTAGAATTATTTTCCTTCTTTACATGAAGTGGTTTGTTTCGTCCTAAAATGTAGACTTTAAAATTCATGATGTAATTTTAGTTTTATAAGGTCACCCCCACTGGCTAGAAAAGCCCCCTCCAACAAAGTCAGTGGCCCAGGTGCCATCAGTTGATAATCAGTCGCAGCAGACGTGTTCTATTGATCAAAGGTTGCAGACCTCTGATCTACGACGGCGTGAACTTTCTGGACATGGAGCGAAGGAGCTTCGTTCAACACGTGGAGCACGTTGCTGCGTGCACCTCTGCACACATCTGCTCGTAAACCATTACAGGCTGTGCATGTGAGGCCAGAGCGCCGCCACTGAGCCCATGTTTCCAGGGTAAAACCAGGTGTGTGTGTGTTTGCGTAGCACACAAGCAGTTCAGGTGCCGCTGCAGATGAATGAGTCGACTGTTAACCAGAAAAGTCCAAAACGTGCAAAACAAAACCAGGAAGTGGACACAACACGAGCACTGCGTGCAAACGTGGGAGCTCTGAAGAAGCGCCCTGGGCGAGCGCGCGGCGCGTTTTGGAACGCTCTTTATGGAGGCGTGAGTTCGATCTGTTGCAGGCGCGCAGATGATGGCGGCTCGCCGTCGGGAGGCGGGGCTTATTCAGAGCTCCGGGGACTGATGAAAGAAAGCTTTAAAAGGAGCAAACCTGATTGGCTGGTGCTGTTGCGGCGTAGGGGACACTTGTGGCAGGAGTTGTTGCTGCAGAGACAGTAGCAGGCGTAGCACTGTACATCATTGGGACTTTGGAGGGGGGGAGGGGGAGAGAGAGGGGGAGGGAGGTAGCGATGGACAGGTAGCGTGGTGACAGTGGAGGCGTGGTGCGTCGACGGTTTGAGAGAGCCAGCAAGCCATCGTTAGGGGGGGTTACACGCCGGCAGACGGCATGCAACCGTTCACAAAGCGAAGCGAGGACAGAAAAATAAAAGACAGGAGAGAAGGACAGCGTGGGAGGGAGAGAAACACAAGAGGAGAAGAGCTGATTACAATCACAAGTCAGGAAGTTCACACGGAAAAATCACTTTGATCCCCGTTTTTAAAGATGGCCGACACGCTGGCTCCACTGCACATGCTCCAAATCAATAAAACAACTGGCTGAAAGAAGACTAAAGTTCTGGTGTCGTGTCGAGGTTCCTCCGTGAAGCGGATTTAAATTTCCCGCTCGACACGGCACAGCAAACGGAACCGACCGGGTCAGGAACCGTAGAACCAGAACCGTCGGGGGCTGCGACACCCTTCAGGTGACACTAGGCCTGTCACGATAACAAATGTTGCTGGACGATTAATCGTCTCAGAAATTATTGCGATAAACGATAATATTGTTTGAAATTTGACAATAATTTGTAATTATTGTCAAATTTAAGAAGAAATGTTGGTTGATTTGTTTTGGGTGTAGTACTGTTTTTCAACCACCAGATGGCAGTATGATTGTTTGAACCAAAGGATGGATAGTGAGGGCGCGAGCAGCGTGTCTCTAAGAAAAAAGGGAGGGAGGCCCCTTGACGTGACATGGGCTGTCTCTCCTTCCTGTTGTTTGGTTCTCAAAATGGTGGACGCTCGGTGTGGTTTGAGCTCTTTAGCAAAGCATTGTTCACACAAAGCTTTTAATTTAAAAAATCACTAAAGAAGTTCTCAGCTTCTTTTTGCAGAGAAAAACAACTTTTTACACGAAGACACGTTTTCAACCGTGAATTTTGGAGTTTCAAAAAGACAGAGTTTTTTTTCCCCCGAGGTCGGCCCGTTAGCTTATCTCGTAGCTTAGCTTCTCGGCTTAGCTGCTTTTAAAGATACAAAAACCTGATTTTGGACGGTTAAAACAGATTTTAAAGAGAAAAGATAAAGGGAGGAGTCAGTTGAGCCTTGTCATCCAGTGTCTTCAGTAGAAAGAGAGAGACACGAAGAAACGATAAAGCAGATAAACGTGATTAATTGATTTATTGTTTATCGCGACAGGCCTAGGTGACGCAGAACTTTTCAAAACATGGATGTTGTGAAAAGATCGTTTCATCGTCACCTAAAGGATGGCGAAGGAATTCAATGTCATTCTGTCTCACCTGTGGGGCTACAGACTCCGCCCCCTCCCCTCCCCCCACACCTAAAACCAGCCCGAGTATAGGAGAGCAGCATCAGGACCTACCAAAACTGCTAGCAGGAGTCATGCACAACACTGACCCTGTGGCGTTCATGCAAAGGAAGACAGAAGGTGAGGGGGGAGACAAAGGAGGAGAGAGACAGGTTAATGTGGGGGGGAAGAGAACAGACAAAATAAAAGCTCAGGTGTTACAGCAGCAATGAAAGCAGTAAAAAAATGGAGGATTAGTGGAAAAAAAAAATCTGTTTTTAATTCAGATGCAGCTAAAGCAAACAAAAAGATAAATTATAATTTTTATGATTCAAAATATGCAAACGTTAAAAAACAGTCGGTTTAAATGACCAAACCTAACTTACAGGATGATTTTTAGACAAAACGTGAAACTCGTTTATATAATTTTATTTAAAAACAGACTCCTTTGTTTAAGTACATTTCCAAGAATCCAAGCACAACGTTGTTAAACCGACTTCCACCTAGGCCTGTCACGATAACAAATGTTGCTGGACGATTAATTGTCTCAGAAATTATTGCGATAAACGATAATATTGTTTGAAATTTGACAATAATTAGTCAAATTTAAGAATAAATGTTGGTTAATTTGTTTTGGGTGTAGTACCTTTTTTGACCACTGGATGACAGTATAAGACTGTTTGAATCGAAGGATGGATAGTGAGGGAGCGAGCAGCGTGTCTCTTTAAGAAAAATGGGAGGGAGGCCTCTTGACGTGACATGGGCTGTCTCTCCTTCCTGTTTTTCGTTTCTCAAAATGGTGGACGCTCGGTGTGGTTTGAGCTCTTTAGCGTAGCATTTTTCACACAAAACTTTTAATTTTAAAAAAAAATCAGTAAACAAGTTCTCAGCTTCTTTTTGCAGAGAAAAACAACTTTTTAGTCGAAGGCACGGGTTTCAACCGTGAATTTTGGAGTTTCAACGAGACGGAGGTTTTTTCCCCCCACCCCGAGGTCGGACTGTTAGCGTAACTCGTACCTTAGCTTCTCAGCTTAGCTGCTTTTTAACGATCCAAAAACACGATTTTGGATCGTTAAAACAGATTTTAAACAGAAAATAGAAAGGGAGGGGTCAGTGAGGAGCACCGGAGTTGAGCCTTTTGTCATCCAGTGTCTTCAGTAGAAAGAGAGAGACGAAGAAACGATAAAGCCGATAAATGAAAATGAGGTCGATAATTTTCATTTATCATGCGATTAATCGAGTTATTGTTTATCGTGACAGGACTACTTCCACTTGACAGGAAACGGGAAGTGCTACAGACAGAACACCAGGTCTGGACATTCTTAATGTGACCTCGAGCGCGTTGGAACCATCGTATTTTCTTAAAAGCGCTGTAAAGCTAGCCGTGAAACTCGTTGCTGCACCAGAATCGTGTCTACGGTGGCCCAGGTGGGAGCTCTTACCTGTGGGGAAGAAGGCGGGCTGCTGGAGCTGTGCGTTGGCCAGCGCCTGCTGGTAGTGCAACATGCCGGGGCCGAACAGGGAGCTGGCTCCGTTGCTCTTCTCCAGCGCCGGTCTCTTTGGTAGGGGCTGCAGGACGCCGTGGGGGAAGGCCTTGCCACCGAGAAACAAACAAGCACAGGAGGTCAGAACTGCAAACACGCTCGTGTCTTTATATTCATCTACGCACAGCACAGAAACAAAACAATCTAGATAACTGAGCTAATTTAATATTACTTGTTCATTAAAGTTACGACAACAAGAAGAGCCAAATCAAACTCTGTGAGTGGCTACAGTACAATTCAAGAAGCTACATGCAAAGCAAAAGGTGAAAGGTCAAAGTACCAGGTCTACAGTTGCCTCGAGGGGTCGCTTCATTGCTTTGGCAGTCGACTGAGTCTTTAATTAGCAGGCAGCGAGCACATGATGGCCAATGGGGTTCAAGCGTATTAACATACAGCAAGCAGAGGTGCATCATGGGGGACAGCATTGCATTGTGGATAGGTGAGAAGGAAAAAACAAAAACAAAAAAATAATCTGAATGCCAGTATACCACATACAAAAACAACAGGCATGCACATAAACAAAAACTTGTTTACTTCCAAGAAACATTTTGAATTAGTACAACAAAAGCATCTGAAGTAACTTTTTGTTAACGTGTAGGAAACTGTAGCGGGAGCTTCCAACAAGCCGGTTCATGGAAAATATCTCGAGAGCGGAAATGAAACTTTGTGTGAGGCGGGTTTAAGCTCCCAGCGGGAAGAGGTCGGGCCAGTTTGAACCAGACGGAGAGCCGGGCTGCCTTCGCTGCCATTTGTTCCAACAAATAAAACAAACGAGGAAAGAAAGTCGGCTCCACAACGCCAATTCTCCACCGATATTCACCATTTTCGCCAACTGCTAGCATTTACGTAACGCTAAGCTAGCGCTACGTAAGTGCGCTAACTTAGCTCGTAAGCTCCTGCTAGCTTAAGCGCTAGCAGGAGCTTTGTTGCGAGCTAGCTAGTGCGACTTATGTAGCTCTAAGCTAGCGTTACATACGTGCGCTACGTTAGCGCATACGGTCGGCTGATCCGACACTAGAAAATCCAAGTTCACGACTATTCAGGTGCTCGAAAAATTTTGTTTCTTTATTTCGTCTGGTGAGAAAGCTTTAGCTGAGCAGCTAATTTAGACCACTGTGAAAGTTTTTATTGTGCGGGGGGAAAAAGTCTTACAAGCAAAAAAAAAAAAAAAAGCAACATTTTTTAATATTTTACTACCGATTGTTGGAGAAAACCATAAGTGGTGTGTCTGTGCAGACGAGGACGCGAAGTTTGTTAGTTTGATCTGAGAGTTTGGAAAAAGTGAGACAAGTTGTGGTTTAACAACAGAATGCGGAGCTCCGTTTATTGTTTAATTTGATTCAGTTTGCCCAAAATATCAAAAACTTCTTAATCCGTAGTAACTTATTAAAACATCTTAATTTAATGTGACTGCTGGAAGAATAAAGAAACATGAATGAGATGGGGGGGGGGGGGGGGGGGGTCATGCACAAGCCTTTAGTTTCACTCAGGTGGATTGTTTTATAGTTTAAATCCACTTTAGAAACACAGAACATTCCTGCAAACGCACAAGGGATGTAAAAGGTGACAAACTTAGCGCCTGTAGCGAGGGGGGTCAAGCTACATCGTTCAAACGTTGACGTAGCATCTTAGTTAGCGGCATGCACGATAGATACGTTAGCTACAATGCTACAGACGTAGCTCTCTGCTTCTCTCACGCATCCTAACCCCGCGCTACCAGTCGCCAACTGCTAACATTCACGTAATGCTAAGCTACTGCTACATAAGTGCGCTAGCTTAGTCAATAAGCTCTAGCAGGAACTTTGTTGCGAGCTAGCTAGTGCGACTTACGTAGTTCTAAGCTAGCGTTACGCAAGTGCGCTAGGTTAGCGCATACGAGCTAGCAAGAGCTTTGTTGCCAGCTATCTAGCACAACTTACGAAGCGCTAAGTTAGCCTTACGCAAGAGCGTTAGCTTAGCACTTGTGAGATAGCAAGAGCTTTGTTGCGAGCTAGCTAGCATGAATTACATAGCGCTAAGCTAGTCTTACATTAGTGCGAATTATGCCATCTACCACACCTCTGACGCCCTCCACCTCCCCCCAAAAAATCCCTTCAGATCGAGATGATAAATGACATATTTTTAATTGAAATTGGCGATTCTCGCCACAAAGCGAAAAGTTTGCAGGTATGACAGAATCGCTACAGCGGCGCTGTCAGATTGGATCGCGGCGGTTAGTTCAAACCAAACATGGCTGAACGAAGTGGCGTGAAAAGCAGAGGTGAGGGCGTTTGGAGGCGACGACACACAGGAAGACGACAGATTTTCCAAAAACGACAATGTTTGCTTTAATTAGTTTAAGCATATCTGCACAGGTTTCATGGATTACAGGAGGTCAGATTAGGCTCAAGCTCAAAGACAATTGGATTAAAGGCGCTGAGCAAAGCGCTTATTGTCACAAGTTAACCTCCTTCACCTCTAACACTGGAACTGGGTCACAAAGAGAAGAAACTGGAGGAGACGAGGCAAACGTTCAGCTTGTTTAGTCTGCTTTTGGTGGAGCGATGCAAGGTGCGCGAGTGCAGCAGAGAATGGACCGGGATCCACCGTCCCTGACTGAATCTGCACCGACCACTGAGCGAGCAGGGAGGTGGGATGGAGGGGGTTGACTTGGATCGTTGTCTCCGTTTGAAGCGTGGGTGGAGGAGAAATTAAAAATAAAAAATAAAAAATGAAGGAGTGCAGTGAAACATCGGATTGTTCTTGTGGCGGTCCACTGATCCGTTTAGGCCCGTTGGTTGTCGCTACGCAGGAGGGGAATAAAAAGTTTGATAAAGCAGTGCTCCACATTTTGTTTTATCGATTGAATCAACGCAAAAGCTTTAATTTAACTGAAAAATAAACAAACACATGTAAAACAACTGGGATGCTTAAAGTTTGTAATTTTTGAATTGGACTTTTACCAAAAGCCCTAAAATTTTATGAAATGTTTATTTAAGGCAGGAAATGGGACTGACGACGGCCGTCGTGCTGCTTTTAAAGTAAAACGAGAGCGCATGCGGCGCATCGCACGCCCGTCCACAAACTGTTACACCGCGATCTGTATCGGCGACCTTCAAGTTTGACTTGACCTTGAACCGGGGGGGGGGGGTTGAAAAGTGTACGCGACATTCCATTTGTTTAGGAAGTTTTGTTTAAGTGTCTCGAGCGGATCAGCAGTTACGGTCCAGGCTAAAAGTTTACATACGCACACAGACGTCGACGGGTGTAGAAATAAAGAATTATATTTATATTTATTATATTTATATTAGGGATGCACGGTATTGGACTTTTGGCCGATATATTAAAACTTATTTGGCCGATACCGATATTTCCCCCTGGACCTACTTATAGAGATTACATAACTTTCTCTGCTGTGGAATTAAAATATATTATTCTGCACGGTCTTTGTTAGTCCGGCCTGCTACCAAACGTAGATGCCAAAAAGGGGCTGGAAATGATGTAACACTATATAAATATATATTAAAAAAAAACAGCACCTTTTATATCGTTGAGTTAATTTGAATGCCTGATATTTAACTTTATCGCTAATACCGTCTGATACCGAAACCATGCCGATAATATCGTGCGTCCCTGATTTATGTTTTAGTCAAACATAGGACGGTAAAGGCTGAAGGAGCTGTGCAGACAGGGTGCTCCGTCCCATCTGGACCAGGTCTGGCCCAGCAGAACCTTTAAACCCTGATGAATCAGTGCGTTATTGTGCAGCAGACAGGAGGCGTGCTCACCATGGCGGCGGCGGCGGCTTGCGCGGCCACGGCCGTCTGGTTGGCCTGGTGCTGGGCGGCCTTGATCTTGGCCTGCAGGTGGGCCGGCGGGTGGAAGTACTTGCACTTCTCGCGCGAGCAGCGGCTCTTGATGTAGTCCATGCACACGGTGACGGTGTTGTCGCTGGTGTCGATCATGGGGCTGTCGCTCGGGTGGGCGAAGCGGCAGTCCGTCTCGCCGCGGGCGCAGTTCCCCCGCTGGAACTCGCGGCAAACCTGCGGGAGGCGGGCGGCCGGGTGAGGTGTGGGTGAAGGAAAAAGAAAGAAAGGCACAGTCAGGAAACAAAACAAGGCGACAATCTAAAGTTTAAAAGGATTCTAACCAATAAAATAAATTTAGAGCTTTTATAAACTGTGCTGGAAACGACATGTAAATTACGTTAGGACGTTCTGAATAAAGTCCAAACCTTCACGAACGATTAAAATCTACACAAACTGAACTGCACATTATTATCGCCGTGTAATTGTTTTATAAAAAAAATCTTTTTATCAAAGTAGAAGACTAAACTACTAAAAGTTGACTCGTTATAAAAAGCGGTACGCTGATGTCCACCGTCACTGAGGAATTTAAATAGTTATGGTTTGTAATTTGCAAAACGAGTGTTTTTTCTGGACTGGAACTGAACAGACGTTTTATCCATCAACAGGGGTGTAGTGAAGGGGTGGCTAATGGTGCCCCATTGATTAATCTTTGGCCACCCCACCAGCCACCACAATCATTTGAAGAAACTATAATTATTATTATTTTTTGTGTGATTATTTATTTTATTTTTTCATTTTTGCAGTCATATTTTATTCTGAAAGGATTATGAAGTGGAAACTTGGCCTCGGGTGAGCTCAGCTTACTGTCAGATTACAAAAATGGAAATTATGCTGACGGCCCTGACACCCACAGTCTGAAGAAACTATAGTTATAAGCAAAATTTTAAAAACAACTACAAACCGTAGTTTTCTCAATGAACAATGTGGTCGGTTTACATAAATATATATATATATATATATATATATATACGGCGGCAGCCATTTTGGATTTTGAAGTGGTGCGCAATTTGCGATAGACCTTTCTATGCCTTGATGTAGCCACACACCAAAATGGAAGTCAGTACCTCACTTATTTTTCATGTTATCCAGCTCACAACACGGACTGAAGGGCAATTACAAAGTCATTTTTTCCTTTTAAGCTATGGTGGCCATCTTGGATTTTTGATTTGGATTTAGTATGTGATGGGAAACGTTCTCAGCTAAAACCTCACCAAATTTCAGCTCTGTACATGTATAAATATAATTACAAATATATATATATATATATATATATATAATAAAATTATAATTATAAACATCTGAGTTAAAGCTATTTAAGTGTAAGTTTGGTGGCCATCGTTGACATTTTTTAAATTCAGAATTTATTGGGCATTGCTGTCAGCTACCAACGCACCAAATTTCAGCTTTTAAAATAAAGTTATCGGATTTGTTCCCATTTCGCTAAGGCGGCCATCTTGGATTTTACGACCATACGACCACACCAAATTTCAGCTCAATATTTCAAAGAATGACTGAGTTCTGGTCATTTATGAGTTTTATGAGTTAGCTGTGGCGGCCATCTTGAACCAAAATGGCTCCAAAAGTGAATCAGTGTTTTGTTCAGAGACATCTTCCCTTAATGTCATGTGATCTCACTGTGGCAGTTAGAAGCTGACAAGCGTTCCGTCAGTGTTTTTAATGAGAAAAATGGCGTCTTTGTTCGCAAATGACGTCACCAAACTGAAAACGCCAGTAAAAATAATGGCACACATCACTGTGCTGAGCCGGACGTTTTCCGGTTCGGGCCGCATTAAAGCTGACAGAAGAGTAAGATATAAAGTTAAGAAACCCGTTAGGTGGATAACAATAGGTGCTGCCTAAGCAGTCCCCAATTACAGAAATAGTTCAGAGTTCCAAGCGTTTCATGAAAACAACATTTCCTGAGTTTTCCCCAAGTAGATCCTGGAATTACAGGAGATATTTCAGTCACACGAAACTCTAAAAGCTAAACATTTTAGTTACTGGAAATCAGAGTCGCGTTCAGAGATGACTGAGTGGACTGTAGGCTACGGCACAGGCCTCTCCTGTAAATGAGTCCCCGAGGCTCAATGGGATTAACCTGTCTAAATAAAGGCTGAATGAATTCCTAATACCGTATTTTTCACCGTACACGTCCCAAAAAAAATAAATCCATAAATACGTCACTTCGCCGTATAAGATGCATCTATTATGAGTCGCCGCTGACAAACCGGAAACGTGTGCCGGTGTTGTGGCAAAAATCAATTGGCTGCCAAATGGCGGCCGCGGGAGCGTGCACAGGATTTTAACAATAATTTTACAAGATTAACACTTAAAAACAATTGTTTGCTTGAAATTATAGTAAAGGTGCGTCTCAGTTGAACTTTTACTTCACGAATGCACTTCAATGGTCAAATCAGCTTCATTTCGGGGCGATGCAGCGAAATGAAGCTGATTTGACGGTTGCTCCAAGCGAGCTGGACGAAGGTGGCAGGCTATGGCAAACCCATCGGGTCATCAATAGCCACTTTTACTTATTACATGACACAAGAGCATGACATACAACTCGAGCGCCATCTAGCGGCTGAAAATGGTAGTGTTCAATATTTTCAATGTCAGATTGAATGAAAACAGGTCATATCTCAGCCAAAAATTGGTTCATAAATACGGGAAAATCTATAAATAAGTCGCTTTGATGTATAAGTCGATGGGGAAGGTAAATTATGCAAAAAAAAAAAAAAGCGACTTATAGGCCGAAAAATACGGTAATTCATTTATATTGTAAAACATCAAAAACTAAAGAGGATACAGAAGCAGAACACGGGCTCAGTGACACCAGAGCACCAGCATTAACACATGAACACCTGAATGACGTCAGGCGTGTTTAACTTTCCGTTTTGTACGTAAAAATCTGGAGACATTTATCGTTGAACCTCCTCGGAAGGCGAGCCGTCATAGTTACGATCCTGGTTTTGACTTAAAACACACATCGGAGTTCGCTCGCAATTGTACCAACAAAGGCCACCCACGCACACGGAAAGAAGTCGCGCACGTGCGATCATACATGATGGATCTGTGTGGGAGTGTACGAGTGTCCAAGGGATCCTGTTTAATTACAGCCAGCCCCGTTCAGTTGCTAAGTGATAGCTCTCCTGCAGAAAAACACACACCTACGCATCACCTCCAGGTCTTGGGGAGATTATTGTTTATCTCCATAAACACGGAGAAGAAGAAAACTCCTTCCCAATCCTCCGGTTGTCCTGGAAGTTGTTTGCCAAAGGGGCAGATGGACACGGCAGATGCAGCAAAAAGCTTGTTTTATTCTCTGGAGAATAATCTGAAAGGTACTTTTTAACAGTTACGACAAAAAAAAAAAAAACACGGAGGAAGACGCTACAATTTAGATTAAAAGCTGGTCCTTGCTGTGCATGTTCAAGAAAACACAACAAGAGTACGACTTACGGCACGTGAAATACTTTTATACATTAATACAGCAGTCTGCAGCTACGACTCAGACACGCAAAGACCTGGTGTAACCTTTGACCTTGATTTGTGACCTTGATCGTCAAACTGGGGTGAAGTTGTGTTAAATTATCTTAAGCGGATCAGAACATACGAGCGAGACAAGAAAAAGTTCACGTCCGCCTTTCGACAGGCGTAAAAAAATGTTTTTTTTTGAGTATTGTGTCGTAAAAGAGCCTTTTCGTTTGTTTTCTCGCTTTGACCCGGACTGAGATGGAGTCGTCGTCGGGTTGTTGGAAAAATCTCATTTACCGTATTTTCCACCGTATAAGTCGAGAAAGTCCAAATATGTCTAATAAAGTGGGAAAAAACAGAAATAAGTTGCAGGGCATGCAAATTATGCAAAAAAACTGTGACTTATACACCGGAAAATATGGTATTGCTAATTCCAACGTGAATTAAATTTTATTATTTTTTTTTTTTATTCTCGTGCGTTACGTCGTATATAATAATGGAATTATTTATTTATTATTTATCAAAGTTTTCATTACAGCACAAGTGGAAAACAAAGTGTAAATGTTACAGCAGAAATAAAAAGTTTATTATTCTGTATCAAAATAACTGCCTTTAATAACCAAAAGATTCTAAATTTAACTAAAAGCAATAAGCTGTTATTGTTTTAAAACATAATAAATCAAGTTAAAACGTCTCGACTGAAAATCTATATTTAACATTTATTTACACGAGTTTTGTTTTTCATCTCAAAAGAACTTTATTCTTAAAATCCAAAACCTTCCTGTTTATTTGTTTTAGTTTGATGATTAAACAAAATTACAGGAAAAAAAACAGAAAAGTTAGAATGACATTAAGGAAATTATTTCTCTTTTAGCAGTTAGGGTATTAAGTGATATTAAATATTACCGTAATTTCCGGACTACTGAGCACACCTGAATATAAGCCGCGCCCACTAAATTCAAAAAGGAATTTAACAAGTGTACATATATAGGCCTGTCACGATAAATTTTGCTGGGCGATTAATTGTCTCAGAAATTATTGCGATAAACGATAATATCGTTTGAAATTTGACAAAAATGAGTAATTATTGTCAAATTTAAGATGAAATGTTGGTTATTTTTTTGTGTGTAGTACCTTTTTCAACCACCAGATGGCAGTATAAGACTGTTTGAACTGAAGGATGGATAGTGAGGGAGCAAGCAGCGTGTCTCTAAGAAAAATGGGAGGGAGGCCCCTTGACGTGACATGTGCTGTCTCTTCAGTTCTCAAAATGGCGGACGCTCAGTGTGATTTGAGCTCTTTAGTGTAGCATTTTTCACACAAAGCTTTTAATTAAAAAAATCAGTAAACAAGTTTTTACACGAACGATCACATTCGGATGTGACACGTTCGCTCTTTGCAAAGACGAAAACCGTTCCGATCCGGCGGGTCACCTCTAGCTTGTCGGCACGGATGAGTTTCTGGCTGGAGGAGGAGCCGGCGTTCACGGAGACGGGCGGGCTGCCGGGGACGATGACGGGAGTGCTGGGCAGGATGTCTGCGGGGACCAGGCCCATGCTGTGGGACATCGGAGTCAGGTACGGCGCGTAGCTCAAACCGGCGCTGGAACCCAAGCCCTGGGTGACCGGGAACGTCTGGCGTGGATGGAGAGAAGATCAGAAGTTAGCCCCTTTTTGTTCCTGCAGACTTTGAATGAAGCTACAGAAACAGTGAAGGAGAAGGAGCAGATGTAAAGAAACAATAAAGAAGGACTGGGAAATGAGAAACAGGAGATTTTTTTAAACCTTTGTGTCTCCTGGAAAGATTTTGCCGAGCACGCATGTCCTGTTTTAGTTACGCCTGCCGTTACATCGTTGCAGTTAAAGCATTCGCACCTGGCAGCAGCCCTCCTCAGCCTACCGGCTGCTGAGGAGCTCCTAAAATGTAGCATTCATTTTTTTAAAATCATAACATTATCCGTTTCAGAGCGTGAGCCCAAAGAATGCAACAAAAGGGTTGAAAGGATTCAACACCGACCACGGGCTGCATGGTGGTGCCGGGGATCATGAACTGCATCTGCTGAGCCAACATGGCGGCCGCCGTCTTCTGCTGGATCAGGTTGTTCCGCCCGTTGATCTCCAGCTGGGTCTTTAGGTGCGCGGGTGGGTGGAGGTACTTGCAGTTCTCTCGTGTGCAGCGGCCCTGAGGAATCGTGGGGGAAAAAAAGGGACGGAAAGAAAGAAGAGCCAGGTCAGTATCAGTCTTAACTGAAAACCTTAAGAAGAAAAGTACGGCACCTGGCACACCTCGACAAACTATTATACAGCAAAGACATTGGACCTTGATTTATGACCTTGAAAGTGGAGCTGGGTAAGTGGCGCTCTGTCTAGTGGTGATGCATATGTATATCAAGTTTCATTACACTATCTTGAACGGGTCAGAAGTTATGAGTGGGACAACAGAAAGTTTCCATACGTACGGAGACTACCGTAAGTCGTCTTTCCCCGGGCGTATAGAAATATGAATTGCAACGACTTCAAACAGGTTTCAAAACCGTTTGAGATGAAGAACAGTTTCAGATTTGTTTGCACGTTCACCTTGCTAAGTCTCGTTCTACATCACAACAGACAGGAAGAGAAGGACCCTGAGCTGAATCTCGGCAGCTCTCTGGCAGAGCTCAGACCATCAGCGGAAATGCAAACGGTCGGTTGGGTTCGAGAATCCGTGGTGGATGAAGGTAATTATCCCGTCAAACCAGAGGCTAATGGCAAACACAATGACACAATAAGGGTCTGCTCTGCAGTGCTCATGGCAAATATAGTTGAGGAGAAGAGGGCCAAGGTCAGGAGGGAGCAGAAGAGACAAAGAGTGTGGCCTGTGGAGTGGACCGGTATGAACGCTCCTGAAAGGAAGCAAAGAGATAAAGAGAAACAGGACACGACATGGCTGCCATGACACATGTCTGTAAATGTGAGAGGGCAGAGGGGACTGAAGATAAATTAGAACCAGTGTGGCACAAGGAGGTCTGCTCCTCCGACTGAAAACCTCTCAGCTCCGTGACACAGACCAGCCGCAGCACCGTGGCCCAATTAGCGGCATCATTCCCATCGTGATTCCTCTAATTTCCACTTACGAGCAAATATGACAGGACTGCTTCATGTCAACGCTCTGATTGGTGACTGTGGAGTTTAATTACGGTACTCGAGGGCAGCGCTCAAACGCCGTTTCAAGTCCAACAAAATGACAGCGTGCTGTGTAGAGATTTCTCGAATACTCCGGTAGTCTGCCATGATTTGTTTCACTTCCGGCAGCAAATACAGCAGAGTGAAGTGATTTGTAAAAGTTGTATCGAACCAAACGAGCTCAAAGTCCAGTAAGAGAAAAAATAAATGTATACCTAAACTGTCAGCTATTTGTCTTTAATGTTAAAGAGAAATTTAACCATTAGAGATGCACCAGTTTGCACCGGTCTACTTTTTAGCTAGATGAGCCAAGCAAAAGCTCAAAATTACCATATTTGTTTGCCAGCCCCTGAACACACCACAACTAAGCTGCCAGTTTGCACAAAGTGGAAGAGTTTAACTAACTGAACCAGACTCAAAGTTTTCTGTGTCCATCAATAGCCTTTCACGACCATGACGTGATCAAATGCATCACAGCATAAAAGGTAAAATGGACAGTAAGAACAATACAAAAAGACTAAATTACCAAACTACTAGGTATTAAAGTCCTGCCTGGATTAAAAGGTTTTAGGATTAGATTAAAAAATGTTGGGATAGAGCTCAAGTACTGAGGAAGTTGGTTCCACAATTTATATGTCACGACCAAAAAGACCTGATCACTTTAACATTTGTATTTAGACAATGGGACAAACAAAAAAGATGTAATGGTTGACCATTAGGATCTCTCATGCTCACGGAATGATACTAGAGCAGCTAAATATGGCAAGGAAAGGCAATGCAGAGCTCTAAAAGTAAAAAATAAGAGCTTAAAAATCAATACTAAAATGAACAGGAGACCAAGGGAAAGAAGATAAAACAGGTTGTGCTCACATCTTCAAAAAAAAAGTTGAAGGCATCTGATGGACAAGGACATTCCAACATAAAAAGCATGCGTCTTTATCTTCTTTTTCGTAGTCTTCAGCATCCATACTTTCTTCATCTGCGTTCATACTTTCGTCGTCCGCGTCAATACCTTTGTCGTGAGCGTCTATACCTTCGTCGTCCGAGTCTATATCTTTGTCGTCAGCGTCTATACCTTCGTCGTCCGAGTCTATATCTTCATTGCCAGCGTCTATACCTTTGTCGTCAACGTCTATACCTTCATCGTCAGCGTCTATACCTTTGTCGTCAGCGTCTATACCTTCGTTGTCAGCACCCATACCTTCATCGTCAGCGTCTATACTTTTGTCGTCAGTGTCTATACCTTCTTCGTCCGTGTTTATATCTTCGTTGCCAGCGTCTATACCTGTGTCGTCTGCGTCTATACTTTCGTTGTCCGCGTCTATATCTTTGTTGCCAGCGTCTATACCTTTGTCGTCAGCATCTATACCGTCATTGTCCGCGTCTATATCTTGGTTGCCAGCGTCTATACCTTTGTCGTCAGCGTCTATACCTTTGTCGTCAGTGTCTATACCTTTATCGTCAACGTCTATACCTAAGTCTTCAACGTCTATACCTTCGTCTCAGCGTCTATACCTTCGTCTTTAGTGTCTGTATTTTTGTATTTAGTGTCTATATTTTTATATTTAGCATCTAAATCATCTTCTTCAAGGAAGACCTTTGTCTTGAGCATCTATATCTTCGTTTTATGCCTCTACCTTTATCTTCAGCATCTATATACTAGTCTTTAGCATTTATATATTTGTCTTTAGCATCTACATCGTCCATATTCAGCATTGATGCCTTTGTCTTTAGCGTCTATATTTATGTCTTCAGCATCTATATCTTCTTATACATCTTCTTTGATGGCATCTTCTTTCAGCCGTTTGGGGACACCACAGCGAGTCATCCTCCTCTATCTCACTGTCCTCTGCGACCAATACATTTAACTTATCAGCTCATAAAGTCAGTTTATTTTTCTTCCCAGTCTTAACTGAACACTGCTGCAATTTATTTTAAATTGAAATCTTGAAAAATGAAATATTTCTTATGTAACTGGGACCCTGTGTACATAATTTCATTCCACCACATGAACCACATGTGGTGCGAATGACAAATAAAGAGACTCTGACTCTGATTTTATGTTTCAATCCAGTAGGCGTGTCAGAAGTTTGTAAAAATCTACTGTATTTTGGTTGTATTAAGTTTTTAACCATAAACATTTTAATTTGAACAATCAAACTTTGTTTTAATCATAAATTAGAGGGAAAAAATATATCCTATGATGATACTGTAGGTCAAGAAATAACATTTAAATCATTCAAAACTGGTATTGGCAGACAAAAGTTTTTAAAAAACATTGAGCATTGGGCATCGGACTCAGATGAAAAACTGTGATCAGCGCATCTCTACAAAGAATATGCTTCCAGGTCAAGTTTTTTTCCAAGTAATATAAAGTCCATAATTAAAAAAAAAAAAAAAAAAAATATATATATATATATATATATATATATATATATATATATATATATATAATAGGTTTTATGAGCTCAATATAATTAGTTTAGGTTTGTCAGTTTCAGCCCAGTCTGCGCTCTAGAAGTTGAGCATAATTTAATTAATACAACAAAATATAAGCATATCTAGTAACCACTATATTTGGAAAGAGTCTTGTGGGTTTAGTTACAAAAGATTATTATATATTCCTCTGTTAACGTTTGAAATTTTATAGTTTTTAGCAGAATGCAACATCACTGAGATCATTGCTGTTTTTCACTTTATACTAGGAGGGTACGAGAAAAACACTTTAATCAAAGACAGCTCGAGGTAGAATCCTTGTTCTCAGTGCAAACATCCGATGTTCTCAAACTAATAAAACCGGGCTGTCCGGTTCCACCTGTGTGATATTAAAGGTACACCACAGAGCATCATTTTAAAGCTCTACAGGCGTCTTTAGCTTTAATATCATTTAAAAAAATAAAAAGTAACCATAAGAGAACCATGTTGGAAGGGATCAACATCCAAAATCTGGTATAAAGGATACATGGTCCTCCCATAACCCCTCAGTCCTCCTCCATGGTTCTCAAGTTATCGCCTACCTACACATGTGCATACTACTACACACGTCACCCACACACACATGCACACGGTGCAGCTGTGTTCATACGTATCCAGAACAGAGGAACAAAGGTAGCGCTGAACGCTGCAACCAGAAGCCTCGCTGGTGTCAAAAATAATTAGAGCCCTGCACGTCGGCGCCACCAGAAGTGGTACAAGATGTGTGTGTCTGTGGTGTATGGGTGTCTTGAGTTATCAGCGGCAACGAGGAAGGATGCGTGGGCTGGTGTAACTGTGCAGAAGAAACCGTGTGGGCGGGGGTGCGAGGAAGGGAGCGGGTGCTGAAGCTGAGCTCTGGACAGCATCCCAGACGGAGTCCGCGGGGAAGCATCGCACCCTGTAGGGTTCAGCGGCACAAACACACAACAAAGAACTTTGTGGCGCACTTTGTCAGCTTTCTTTGGCCTGACCGAGGCCACTTTTGCTTCTTTGTTATTCTGAAATGTAGCTTAGGTTTGTGATTTCTCATCATTTACCAGTTTAAAGTGTTGAGATAAATGGTTTTGGCTGTCTTACTAAGTGTCCTCGTGTCACTTCATGTTTGAGAACTGATCTGTTCTTCATCGGTCAGCACTGCGCCTGGTCGGTGCATGAACTGGCCAATGCCACATTTCACCTGGGTATAAAAACTATGGTCCAAATAATGGAATGGATTATATACAGAAACCTGTTGAGTTTTGGCTTCTAGAAAATTGTACTGGGCATCATTTTTTTCTGAAAAGTGTCTAAATCACGAACACATAAAAGCTAAAAGCTAAATTTTGATCGAATATATGTGCTCCGCCTCATTTATAACAATGGCTCCCTAACTTTTCACTGTTAGACCTACAAAATAAAAGTTGTAGGGATGTGTGACCCTAACTACATCCATAGGATGTCTACAAAAACCTGCAGCAACCAAAACAGTCTTGTTTGGTGCGAACGTTAAATGGAAGAGAAAATAAAAAAAGACTGTTTTAGAAACAACATGACATAAATATACTG